AGTTGGGACAGGGGCATGTTTGCCACTGTGTTACGTGACCTTTCCTTTTAACAACACTCAATAAATGTTTTGGAACTGAGGAGACTAATTGTTGAAGCTTTGAAGGTGGAATTCTTTCCCATTCTTGCTTGATGTACAGCTTCAGTTGTTCAACAGTCTGGGGTCTCTGTTGTTGTATTTTACACTTCAATGGGAGACAGGTCTGGACTGCAGGCAGGCCAGTCGAGGCCACTCTTTTACTACAAAGCCATGCTGTTGTAACACATGCAGAATGTGGCTTGGCATTGTCTTGCTGAAATAAGCAGGGGCGCCCATGAAAAAGACATTGCTTGGATGGCAGCATATGTTGCTCCAAAACCTGTATGTACCTTTCAGTATTAGTGTTGCCTTCACAGATGTGTAAGTTACCCATGCCTTAGGCACTAATGCACCCCCATACCATCACAGATGCTGGCTTTTGAATTCTACGTTGGTAACAGTCCGGATGGTTCTTTTTCTCTTTGGCCAGGAGTACACCACGTCCACTATTTCCAAAAACAATTTGAAATGGGGACTTGTCAAACCACACAATACTTTTCCACTTTGCATCAGTCCATCTTAGATGAGCTCGGGCCCAGAGAAGCCAGCGGCATTTCTGGATGTTGTTGATAAATGGCTTTCACTTTGCATAGTAGAGTTTTAACTTGCACTCAAAGATGTAGCGACGAACTGTATTTACTGACAGTGGTTTTCTGAAGTGTTCCTGAGCCCATGTGGTGATATCCTTTAAATCAAATCAAATCAAATCAAATCAAATTTTATTTATATAGTGCCAATTCACAACAGTCGTCATCTCAAGACGCTTTTCAAGGAACAAGAGCAGGTCTAGACCACGCTCATTGTTTGATGATCAAGAACCAACCTAAGATGGGTTTTGGCCCATCTCAACTAACATGAGTAACAGTGGCAAGGAAAAACTTCCTTTTAACAGGCAGAATCCTTGGGCAGGACCAGCCTCATGTTAGACAGCCACCATGCCGCTGCTGGGTTGGGGAGGAATGTAGAGTGAAGAGGGGAGAGGGGAGAGGGAGAGAGAACAAGATAAGGGAGGGCGAGAGAGAATGAGTAAGGAGAGGGAGGGGGAGGGAGAGAGAGTAGAGAGCGAGGGCGAGAGAGAGACAGGGGGCAGCAGAAACAACAGCAACAACAACAACAGCTCATGTAATGGTGAAACAAAAAAGAGTTCAGGTTACAGGGTTAGGATATGAGTGATTATGGACAATGTTAAATTAATTGAGTGTGATAACAGTTAGCAGGCCTAATCGTAGTCAATTCACACATTGATGTCGGTTTTTGATACAGTGCCACCTGAGGGATCGAAGGTCATGGGCATTCAATGTTGGTTTCCGGCCATGCCGCTTATGTGCAGTAATTTCTCTAGATTCTCTGAACGTTTTGATGATATTATGGACCATAGATGTTGAAATCCCTAAATTCCTTGCAATTGTACTTTGAGAAACGTTGTTCTTAAACTGTTTGACTATTTGCTCTCACAGTTGTTCACAAAGTGGTGAACCTTTCCCCATCCTTGCTAGTGAATGACTGAGAATTTTTTGGGAAACTGCTTTTATACCCAATCATGGCACATACCAGTTCCCAATCAGCCTGCTCACCTGTTGGATGTTCCAAATAGGTTTTTGATGAGCATTCCTGGAATTTCTCAGTATTTTTTGCCACTTTTCCCAACTTCTTTGTCACATGTTGCTGCCATAAAATTCTGAGTTAATTATTATTTGCAAAAAAAAAAAAAAGTTTGAGTTTGAACATTAAATATTTTGTCTTTGTAGTGTATTCAATTGAATATAGGTTGAAAAGGATTAGCAAATCATTGTATTCTGTTTTTATTTACGTTTATTACAATTTCCCAACTTCAATGGAATTGGGTTTTGTACTATTATGGCTTTAATAGTCCTCTAAGCTAAAATGGTGAACTTTTATGCTTGGTTTTTGACCTAATGGTCATAGATATCACAATTGATGTATAAAACAAATTTAAAATGATCTTTTTTGGTCTTAACACAATTTTGATAAAACTTATGACAGACTAAATTCACTTTCAAGAGTAAGAAATATTTATTTTGGAAATAAATGCCTAACCCCTTTACCCATGTGCTTCTAACCTTCACAGACTCCATGAATTGATGCCCATCTGCTAAATATTTGGTTACATAATCAATTTCTTTTACCATTTCCAAGCAACAGGGGGCGGCTCAACTTACCCTTTGGCTTAACTTATCCCAGTTTCCCTATACTTGTCTCTGTACCAGACACATGCCTTGTTACAAAGTACCTTAGATTTTTTGACAGAAAATTTTTACTTTTTCATCGAAAGTTATAACAAGGCACTGGAGAATCTTCCATCTTCATCAAGATGGAAAACATGTAAGGTACGTTATAACAAGGTATGTGTCTGATACAGAGATAAGCATATAGGGATATCTTTGGTTGGTGACCTGCTCTTATATTTCATGTTTGTGTGTGTTCTGATTTGTATGTAGGCCAAAGTTAAATATCAAATTGTCTTTTCACTACATAATAGAGCTACAGCTGTTTTATCTTCTCTTAATGTGTGCGTGCGTGCTTGTGTTTTAGAAAACACCTTGAAAAATCTAGCCCCTGTGGAACGGGCAATGAAGGTCTGCAAAAAGATTGTCATTGCCTTTTCTCACAGCTGGAAATAGAAGAAGGCATTACAGAAGGAACAACAAGAGATGAAATTGCCAACGCACAAACTAAAAACAACGGCATGTCCAACCAGATGGGGATCCATGCAGATCATGATGACAAGGGTCATGGAGCAGAAGATTGCCATCACTATAGGCAGGCTATGGTAGGCTGTGATCCTTGGTACTCTTTTATTGTGTTGCTGATGACAGGGCATCAAGGCATCTTGTTCCAAAATGGTCAGCCTTGGATGTCTTGGAGTTGGAGGCAATAAAAAAAGCTCTCGCTCCATTGGTGAAGTTCACCAACGCCCTGTCGGGTGAAGAGTATGTCACCATCTTATCTGTGAAGCCTGTCCATCCTTCATTCACAAGTGCTGGCTGAGGAAAAAGTTGATGTGGCGCTGACCACTGCCATCAAATCTCACATCCTTGTGTACCATGATGACAAGTTCTCAGATACCCCCACTGTAGAGCTTTTGGACACAACAGCATACATTTCTGCATGCTGTGTCACCGCCATTCAAGAGAAAGTGAAAACAGAGATGAAGTCAGCAGCTGCAGTCCAGACAGGAAGTACCTCAGAGAGCACCGAGCCTCTGCCTTTCATATCATCAGAAGCAAAGAAACCAAAGAGATCACTGGGAATCTTTTTCAAAGGAAGTGATGCTACCCCTTAAACTGCACCCACTGTGTCATCTGAGCAGGCAGTTGAAGCAGAGCTGAGCAATTACTTAGTGTCTCCTGTGCAGGATAGTGAGGGAAATCCACTAGGTTGGTGGAGACAGTATCAGGTACACTTTCCCACTCTAAGTAAAGTCGCAAAAAAAGTACCTTTGCATACCAGCCACTAGCTTCTCATCCAAGTGGGTTCTCAGCTCTGGAGGAAACATTTTTACATGCCTCAGATCCAGACCCGAAACCCAAAATGGTAAACATGCTAGTGTTTCTAAGCAAAAGCCTGAAGTAAATACTAGTGCATAGAGTAGAGTGATCACATGCAACAGCAGCAATGAGTCAGATTCACATCTACAACACTAGTCTCAAGTAAAGGTATTTAACGTATCAGCCTAAAGAGTTTAAAGTTGTCAGTTGTCACATGGCAGTGTTTAGTGTTTATTTGCAATAGTTTTTTCAGTGTTCTATTGACATTTTTGTTCTTGACATTATTTATTATTTTACAAGTGACACTATCTCCGAAGCCTTTTACACATAGGCCGTTGCACATGGTGGCAATACCTTTGCACAAGCCATTGTGTGTATGTGTGTGTGTGTCTGGGGGGGGGTTAATGACACAACCGCTGCAATGAACCTTGACCACATGCCCAACTGGGCCCATGGCAGCTGAGGCTCCACCAACATGATGACTGTCTCGTCTTGTAGATCAGGAGGAGAAGACTGCAATTTCTGTCTCGTCTGGAGACCAGGTAGGTATTTTTCTGATGAATCTGGACCAGAATTGATCCACCAGGATCTGGGAATGTCACCAACGCCAGTGGCTCAGGATGTCAGTCTCCGGGTACACCACCTGCGGGAGCAAACCATTGGGCCATCCCATAAGCAAACTCTTTGGTGTCACAGGATCCACGTCCGCAACATCGACCGATACATAGGCTAGTGGTTTTGAGTTAAGGATGGCTTCAACTTCCATGAGCATGGTGAGTAGCACATCCTGTGATCCAACACGTGTGAAGTGCTGACTTGACTGACTGGACTTCCCGCTCCCATATTCCTCTGAAATTGGGAGCAGCAGGAGGGTTAAAGTTGAACTTGATCTTCTGACAGGCAAGCCGCTGTTGTAAGGCTGGAACCATGTTCTCAAAGGCTTCCCTGAGCTCTCGTTGGGCTCCTCTGAAGTTGGTCCCTTGGTCTGACCACACTTCAGCAGGGGTTCCTCTTCTGGAGGTGAACCGCCTCAACGCCATCAGATAGGCGTCAGAATCCATATTCTTGAGAAGATCCAGATGTACAGCTCTGGTTGTCAAACACTTAAAGATGATTCCCCAGCATTTCTCTTGATGTCTGCCTACTTTTACTGGCATGGGGCCGAAACAATCCATGCCAGTGGAATAAAAGGGCAGTTTGTGTAATCTTAAGTAAGCCTCTGGAAGATCAGCCATCCTTGGAATTGAGGGCTGGCCCCTCCAACGTTGACACTCCGTGCTGGCTCGTTGGTGCTTATGGACCGCCTCTCATCCTCTGATGATCCAGAATGATCTCCGCAGCTCTGAGAAAACTTGTTCGGGACCTGGGTGGTGTAGATCCCTGTCATATTTCTGAATAAGTAGATGTGTCACTGGATGAATGGCATCAAGGACAATAGGATGTAGGGGGACATCAACATCCTCCAACCGTCTGAGCCAACCACCCACTCTAATTAGGCCAGAGGTTGAGTCGAGGACTGGTGCTAAGGTGAGTAGGCGACTTGAAGGTGACATTGGTTTCCCTCCAGCCAGGAGCTTGTAGTCTTCTGGAAAGGATTGCTTCTAAGATCTCAGCAGGATTTTGGTTTCTGCACACTGATAATCCTCAGGTGTGGGTGGGGTTCTAGAGGGGGTCTCTCTCTGAAGCTCTTGGACAGTGTCCTCCAGTAGTTCTTGCCAGGACTATATCTTTTATCATCTGGCCCACAGTCAGCAAGTGAGGTGACTGTAGCTCCACAGAAGGCAGTCTTTCGTAGTTCTGCATTATCCTCTGGGGGTTCAGTGTTGGGCCTCTCTGGCCAGCTGTTTGGCCTCTGCAGCAGGAAGGGGGGTCCCTGGGACCATCTGTTTGGAACCCTAAGCTCTAAGTTTTACCCATAGACTGTATATAGAATGGACAGAGTCTGCCTCATCGCTGGGTGAAGCCACTCCGAGAACAGCACCCTATGTTGATGGGCTGCAGTATAGGTCATAAATCCCGCCTCCACCAGCAAAGCTTATGGAGCTGTGGACAAACTTTAGAAATTTATTACACAGAACATAATTTTTTCTCCCCCCTGCTTGTGATGTTGACATACAGTTATTGTAAGACTGGTTTGTGCTCAAGTCCTCTTTTTTCTGTGAAGCTCCGTTTTTAAATGTTATTGGGGGTTCATGTTGGCTATGATTGACACCTGATACAGCCTATGGGCATTCAGGGATTGCGTAGCTCTCCCGGGGGACCATGCTGTTTGAGCCGAGTGTCATCACAGCGACTCTCTGCGACTGCGCGGCCGAATGCGTGCATTGCTACTGCGCAGCGCTGGTTTCAGGAAATGAAGAAAAATCCCAGAAATACCGAGAGCTTTTTGGCTTCAAATCCATATACAGGCGGTAGGCAGAACCAAGTTGTCCATAGTATATACAGTCTATGGTTTTACCTCTTGTTAGATCATCTGCAGGATTTTGGTCTGAGTCTACATAGCGCCAGGTGCAACCTTCTGTCAGCCCCTGTATCTCGGCCACTCTTCCCCCGACGATCACCTTGAAGCGGCAGGACTGGGAATGGAGCCAGGTAAGTACTGTGGTAGAATCAGACCACAGGGTGGTGTGAGCCACTTCCAATGTGAGCTCCTTGGTGAGGAGACTGGCAAGTTGTGCTGCTACTAGGGTGAAGCACAGTTTAAGCCATGGGATGGAATCTGCACATTTGGGGGATACTTTGGAACAAGCAAGGATGAAAGAGAGGTAAATCCGACCCTCTTTGGTCACTGTCCTCTGGTAAGCTACAGCTCAGGTGAAGATGTGCACTTCACAAGTGACAGCATCATGGTCAGAGTCTGTGGGCACATATGCTCGAGGAAAGGTAAGTAGAGATAAGAACTGGAGCTCATCTTCCCAGCTGGACCAGGCTTGAAGCAGAGCTGCAGGTAAGTTTGGGTCATCCCAGCCTCGCTGCTTATCCTACAATTGCCGGATGATAAGCTTTGCCCCAGTGGAGTAAGGTAGGACGTAACCTAAGGGGTTGTACTGTGAAGCTAGGACCTTACAGATGTTCCTTAGGGTCGGCGCATCATAGAATACCGGCTGGTGCTTGTAACTCAGGGAGTCTCTCTCCCGGTTCCAGCTGAGGCCCAGGGTGGATTCTTGAGGATTGGTTTTGTCTTGTGCCAACCACAGATCTAGGCTCTGCGACCGGGCCTCTTGTGGCAGGTCATCCAGGACACTTGGCTCATTGCAGGCCCACTGTCAGATATCAAAGCCTGCTGAAGACAGAAGATCTCTTGGCTTCTTCTGGAGTTGTCGATGTAGAAGCGATTGTTGACAGAGAACCTCACCATGTCTGCAGGCTGGCAGTGATCAGTAGCATGGCGCTGCAGTGCATATGTAGCACAACAGGGGCGACAAGTTGTGCCGTAGGGCAGGACTTTCCACTCGAATACTCTTGGGGGCTCATCAACTTTCAAGTCACGCCAAAGGAATCTCAGTAGGGGGCGATCCTTAGGAAGAAGACAGACTTGGTGAAACATCCCTTTGATGTCTTCACTTACTGCGATGGGGTGCGCCCGGAACCTCAGTAAGACGTCCACCAAAGAAGCTCCAAGGGTGGGGCCAGGCAGTAAGTACTGGTTCAGAGTCTGCCCAAGGTATTGGTGAGAGCAGTTAAAGACAAGCCAATGCTTCCCATTGTGAGTGACTAGGTGATGGGGAATGTACCAACACTTGTCAGGTGGTTCCTCTTGGGTTACCTCCTGAACAGCACCTGTTTCAATGAGCTTCTGTATTTCTGCTCAGTAGATCGCTACTCACTCAGGATCTTTCAGGAGTCATCGCTCTTTGCCTCGTAGAAGAGCCATGACTGACTCCTTAGGTGCCTGCAATGAAGGAATGGCCGCATGACGTAGCAGGGGTGTAGCGTAGCTCCTCACTCCATCAACCTCGGTACGGACTGTCTTGGTATTCAACGATGCAACCGCTTGTTAGTCTTGTTTTGACCTAGTCACCTCTTTCTTTGGTCTGTGGGGTACAGTGTCCATCTGCCAGAGCCTCTCAACATGGCGGTACAATTCATCTATCTGTGGAAGGAGGGAAGTAAAGAGACACCCATGGAACGGACAGGGCCTTGGAGGGTCCATCCCAACCGGGTGTGGACTGCTGCCGGGCCACCAGGTTGGCCAAGTCTGACTAGTTCTACAGGTGTTATGAGATGCGCCTGGTCAGAGCCAGGAAGGAGCGATGGTCTGGCGTCCTTCAAGGCAGGTATGGGGAGGCCACAGAGATGTTTATACTTTTTCTGAAGTTGCTTTATGGGGTAAGTATGTTGGGCTAGGCTGAGTTGGATTGTTGTGAAGGCACCGTCGATCTTAAAGCAGACCTTTGGGTTGGCAGCTGGAGAAACATGGAAGGATATCTTATGTCCATGGAGCACCTGGATGTCCTGTCGGACCGTCCGCAGAGGAAGATCTTCAGGGGCCCCTTCATTCCCAGTGATTTGGCTGCAGCTGGTAACAGCATGGACCGCTCTGAGCCATCATCTAGCAGAGCAAAGGTGCTGAGACTATACCCTTCCTGATGTAGAAGCACCGGGACGACCTTTAACATGACCTGATTGCTGGCTCCGGGTCGTTCGAGGTAGAGGGATTCAGAGGCTGAGCTAGTCAGACAGCTCTTTTCTTTCCTTGCAGCATCCTTCTTGTTTCTCTAGGGCCTCTAGGGTTTCAGGTGTTTCCCTTGGCAAATGCGTCAGGGTTTCTTCAGTGTGCACTGAGCTGCTCGGTGTTTTCCTGCACAGCGTCAGCACCGCTTGTTAACTTCACTAAGGTTGTGTTCACCACTCTGACAGTAGGCACAATAGGCTTTCTTTGGCTGCATCTTCTTTGCAGGATTGGAGGTAGGGGCATCCTCAACTGCCTCTCTGAGACCTATAGGACTGTCACCATGTGTTTTCCAGAGTGAGTATCAGACCTAGGAGGCTGTCTTACCCTGTTGGTTCTTGGGTTGACTTGGCTGCTCTGACAGGTTGTACAGGGTGTACAAGGCTGCTTGAACTGTTGGCAACGGAAGTCGGCTCTCTGTTCTGCTGGAAGCTTGGTCAAGAGGCATGCTACATGGGAGCCACAGTTAAGTTCAATCTCTCCCTCTGAGCCTAAGGTCTTGAATAAGACGACTAAGGACTGGATCTGGAGAGAGAACCTTTGAAATTCTGTGATGTCACCACGCCTGATTTCAGGGGGCTTCTAAGACACAAGCTATCTTCTTTAAAGCTAGTTGGTGAGGCTGGCCAAACCTGTCATACAGATCTCTCATTGTGTCAGTGTAGGGGGTGGGGGAGTTCAGATAAGCATCAGCTATTGTAGGAGAATCTCTTCATAAATTTAGGTTAAGAAATATCGAGTCATTATCTTTTAGTAAGGAGCTGCAAATAATCCAAGTTGGCCTGCTCATGCAGCCTCATGACCCTGAGGTTGTAAGCAAGGCTGTCTTGCAGAGACTAGAACTATCTGTCTGTTAGAACATTTAATCTCTGCGAGAGTCAAGACAAGTCTAAACAAAGTGTTGAGGGTCAGAACAGTAAGACATGTCATCATGGGTAGCCTTCTGGAGAATTGATATGACATACCCATGATGACAGAATGCACAATACCCATGATGACAGAATACACACACACACACACACACACACACACACACACACACACACACACACACACACACACACACACACACACACACACACACACACACACACACCTAACAGCATAAAAGGGAGTAGAAGAAAAGCTAGGGAGGCTTCCCTTGGTCTTTGTCGAGACTCTGTTTGTCTGTACTGATTTCTACATCTGTACAATAAAAGACGCCCAGGCTGTTCTTCAAGTAAAGTCAAGTCAAGTCAAGTTTATTTGTATAGCACATTTCAGCAGCAGGGCAATTCAAGGTGCTTTACATGAAACAAGCAGGCAAAACATTCAACACAGTTTAAAAAGTAAAAACAGCGTAAAAGACATTTAACAGATTAAAAGTTACATTCAAAGCTAAAATAAGATTGGAGATAAAAGAAAACAAAGGTTAGATTGGAGAGATAGAAAAAAAAAAAAGATCAAGACAGGCAGATGGTGAAGATGTTGATTAAAGGCCTCAGGTTTGATTTAATGATAGGCCACAGCAAACATATGCGTTTTCAGCTGTGATTTAAAAGAGCTGAGAGTTTCAGCAGACCTACAGTTTTCAGGGAGTTTGTTCCAGATATGAGGAGCATAAAAACTAAAAGCTGCTTCTCCACGTTTAGTTCTGACTCTGGGGACAGAGAGCAGACCTGCTCCTGATGATCTGAGCGGTCTGGATGGTTCGTAACGTATCAGCATATTAGAAATGTATTTTGGTCCTGATCCATTCAGTGCTTTATAAACCAGCAATAGTATCTTAAAATCAATTCTTTGACAGACGGGAAGCCAGTGTAAAGATCTGAGAACTGGGGTGATATGATCTACTTTCTTGGTCTTAGTGAGGACTCGAGCAGCAGCATTCTGAATCAGTTGGAGCTGTCTGATGGATTTTTTGGGGAGACCTGTGAAGACACTGTTACAGTAGTCAAGTCTGCTGAAGATAAATGCATGGACAAGCTTTTCCAAATCCTGCTGGGTCATCAGTCCTTTGACCCTTGATATATTCTTCAGGTGATAGTAGGCTGACTTTGTAATTGTCTTTATGTGGCTGTTAAGATTCAGGTCTGAGTCCATGACAACACCAAGGTTTCTGGCTTGGTTTGTGCTTTTTAACATTATCGATTGAAGCTGAGCACAGACTTTTAATCGCTCGTCTTCTGCTCCAAATACAATTACTGCAGTTTTATCTTTGTTTAGTTGAAGAAAATTCTGACACATCCAATCGTTGATTTGTTCAATACACTGACTCAGTGTTTGTATTGGATTGTAGTCGCCTGGCGACATGGTTATGTAAATCTGTGTGTCGTCTGCATAATTATGGTAAGATATTTTGTTGTTTGCTATGATTTGAGTTAGAGGGAGCATGTAAATGTTGAACAGGAGTGGCCCCAGAATGGAGCCTTGGGGAACCCCACATGTCATTTTTGTTCGCTCTGATGTGTAGTAGTCTCTATCCTTTAAGTAGGATGCAAACCAGTTTAGTACTGTTCCAGAAAGTCCCACCCAGTTTTCCAGTCGATCGAGTAGGATGCTGTGGTCAACCGTGTCGAAAGCGGCACTGAGATCGAGCAATACTAGGACTGAAATTTTGCCATTGTCTGAGTTTAAGTGGATGTCGTTAAAGACTTTGATAAGAGCAGTCTCAGTGCTGTGATGCGGTCGAAACCCTGACTGGAAAACGTCAAAACAATTGTTTAGGACTAAGAAGTTGTGAAGCTGTTGGAAGGCTGCTTTTTCAATGATTTTGCTTAAAAACGGGAGGTTCGATATAGGCCTATAATTGTTCATTACTGAGTTGTCTAGGTTGCTTTTTTTTAGGAGAGGCTTTATGACAGCAGTTTTCAGGGCCTGTGGAAAGACACCTGACAGAAGTGACATGTTGACAATCTGTAGAAGATCTGAGGCCATGCAATTAGAAACTGTTTTAAGAAACCTGTTGGCAGAATATCAAGGCAGCAGGTGGAGGAGTTCAGATTTAGTATAATGTCCTCCAGGGTTTTAATGTTGATCGGGTTGAATTGTGTCATGCTACTGGGGTTAGTACACATGGACAACACATATCCTGTACCTGATATTGAGCTACTGACTGTTTGTCTAATTTTCTGGATTTTGTTATTGAAGAAGGAGGCAAATTCATTACAAGCCTTGGCAGACAGAAATTCAGAGGCTACTGATACTGGAGGGTTTGTTAGCCTGTCGACTGTGGTAAATAGGGCGCGTGCATTATTTTTGTTTTTGGTGATGATGTCTGAGAAGAAGAATTGTCTAGCATTTCTTAGTTCTAGGTTAAAGATACGAAGTCTCTCTTTATAGATCTGATAGTAAACCTGAAGGCTTGTCTTTCGCCATCTGCGTTCGGCTTTCCGACACTCTTTTTTCAGCTCTGACCAGCGCGGCATTCCTCCATGGAGATCTTTTCTTGCCAGAGACTATTTTCACCTTGGTGGGCGCAATGGCATCCATCACATTTGTGATTCTAGAGCAAAGGTCTTCTACAAGCTCATTGACCGAGAGCCGTGAGAGAGCTGGGAGAGGAGTCAAAGCCTGATTAAATATTTCACTGGTGTTGTCAGTGATAAGCCGCTTGGTGATTACCTCTGTCTGAGCAGTGGTGAATAACATAGAGATAGTACTCTCAAAAAAGACACAGGAGTGATCAGAAATAGCAACATCAGTAACCATGATTTTGGGTATGTTCAGGCCCTTGGAAGTAATTAGGTCTAGAGTGTGACCTCTATTGTGTGTGGGCTCTGTTACATGTTGGGTCAAACCATAGTTATCAAGGAGACAGCACAATTCTTTGGTGCCTCTGTCCTGGGGGTTGTCAACGTGAATGTTAAAATCACCAACAATCACTACACAGTCAAAGTCAATACAGATTATAGACAGCAATTCAGTAAAGTCATCAAAGAAATTCACACAGTATTTAGGAGGTCTGTAGATGTTAAGGAATATTGCTCTAGTAGCAGAGTTCAACTGGAAGGCCACATATTCAAAGGAAGGAAAATTCCCGTAGTGCATCTGTTTACATTGCATTGAGTCCTTGAATAGAATAGCTACTCCACCTCCTTTTCTATGCTTCCTCGTTTCACTCATAAAGCTGAAGTTAGGGGGGGCTGACTCAATAAGTACAGTTGCACTGTTATCTTGTTCTAACCAGGTTTCAGTTAAAAACATTAAGTTGAGATTGTGCTTGATGATAAGATCGTTGATTAAGAATGATTTTCCAGCTAAAGATCTGACATTTAAAAGAGCTGAATGTGGTGTGCTAGAGAAATTTTCTGTACTGGTTTTCATGATGGGCTGACGGGGGATGGAGACTAAGTTTGATAAATTCTTAGTTAGATACCTTCTGTTTTTAGGCAGATTAGTATGTCTATTACTTATTATGACTGGGATTGGTGGCGTTATCTCATCGGGCCGCAGGCTGTCCTGGGAAGAGATATAACTACAGTTATCCTTGCCTGGACCCAAAACATATCAGCAAGAGCTCATTGAGAACGAGGTGTTCCTCACTGTTAGTCCTGTGCTCTTATCACGCTGAGGGAGAGGATGCTGCAGTACTCCTTGTCGTGGGAGAGGAGGAGGGGCAGGTTGCTGTTTGGTGGATTTGGGGCGATTTGGGGGGTTTGGAGGGTTTGGAGGGGGGAGGACGGTCCTGTGGCTGGAGTGGTGGAGAGGCGTGCCGCTAAATCTCACTCCAGCATTCTCCAGTTCTCTCAGTTCAGCTGGAAAATCCAGGAGGGAGGAGGAGGGGGATGGTGTGCCCAGGGAGGAGGATGCTATGGGTGACGTTTGGCAGGGCACGTCTTCCTCGGTAGGTGGGCATACAGGAAGTAGAGATTCCTCCTCCTTGCTTGAGCAGGGTGGGTCCTCTAAGGAGAGCGGTGGTAGAAGAAGTACAGACTCCTCCTTCTGGCTTGAACCAAAGCTTTTTGTGGTCTTTTTGTGGTCTTCAGGTCTCATCCTGTCTCCTGTGCATTGTTTTACTAAGTTTATGTTGGATTTTACCCAACATAATGGCGAGCCTTAGCCAGAATTCATGTTGGGGGACAAGGGACTGTAACTCTGCGAACTATGGGATGAGGACACTTTGTGCACACAAAGGAAAAAGGTAGGAGATTTCCTAAAATTTGGTTGAGAGTTCTTTTCCCTGTGAGGTGGTGCAGACTACTGTTCTCTGTCCTCTTCGAATCAAAGAACCTAGAATAGAAATAAGAGGAGACAGTGGAAATGAAGAAAGTCTGAGAAAACTGCATGCATGCAGTCAGCTGATCAAAGTGTGCTAAATTTGGGAAAGGAAGCCAATTTAAATTGGATATATATCAGCTGAATATAGGGGAAACTGCCGTGGGTTGTGTGAGACCGTTATATGTGGAGCTAGTTAGACTGGGTGCTAAGCGGCACAAGGCCAGTAGTTGTGTGCAACTAGCTAGACTGGGTGCGGAGCAGCACAGGCCAGTAGTTGGGTGGACACCAGACTGCAGACAGCCTGGCCCGGGCTGTGATGTGTTCGTTTTTAGGCTGAAAGCCTGGTGATAAGGAGGTCTGTTTAAGTGTTGAGATAACAAGGGGAGCGGCAGGCACGAGTGTGTCTGTCCATTGTTAAACTGTGAGTTTTAGGTCATTCTTTTATGAGCTCTGAAAGGTGGTAGCTGACGGACAAGCAGATTCATCTAGTAATACATACGCGGATTTTCTTTCTGGAAAACTCCACTAGAAAGAAGGATTTGTCATGCGGAGTTCCGCTGAGGCTTAAGAAAAAGACAAAAGGAGAATGAAAGTGGCATATTTCCTCAGAAAATCTAAACCAGAGTGTAGAGGGCCGAATAATCATAATGAGGCACTAATACATATCTGATATGTATATATATGTATATATATATATATATATATATATATATATATATATATATATATATGAGCAGGAGATAGAAAAAGAGGTCAATAAGGATAGGGTGAAAAGCCTATTCAGGGGTCCCAATTGCACAAGCACGTCCCATATCTCCTGACCAATTGTAGAAAAATCACACAAATTGGAAAAATCAAAAAAAGAATCAAAAATAAAAACTGAGGACTGACCCTCAACACAGGAATTGTAGGAATGTTAAAAAAAGTACAAAGCACTTAAAATTAATTTAAAGAGTAAAGAAGGTGAGGACTGCTGACTCACCCCAGTGACTGACTTTGACTTAAGACAAACACGTGTGAAGGGGTATACCATTGTGTGATGAAAAAGTTAAGTGTGTGGATTGATTGGATGTTTGTGTGTCTGTTTTGCTCTGTGTCAACTCAGTTCTCTGGCAGTGTTCACAGCCAGACTCTGCATCTGTGTGTGTGTGTTATGTTAGTCAAAGATTGCTGTGTTTTTCTCACTTGTGTTTATTTTATAGTCGTTTATGTGAAAACTGTGCACACTGCAGACATGCTATCAGTTGAGACCAAGAAGGTTAAATACTCCTGGGAAAGAGGTTCTGTTCTTAGTATCATGATGAACACTCCTGATATGAAGGTTTTAGCTTATGCTTCAATATTATGATTTTTTTGTTGTTTACACATGTCTTATGCTCCCTAACAAATTTTATGTGTTAAAGCTGCTGAAATAATGTTTATGAAAATATAAAAGATACAAAAATTGGAAAAAGAAATGAGGTACCACAAGTGCAAAACTTCTAAAACTTCAAATCAAAGGGTTGCTTCTATACATTTGCTTTTTCTGCTTAAATACTGTGGTTTTTCGAATATTGTTGAAGCTGTTAATACCAATAATGACTATTGCTGTGAGACTTCAGTTAATGTAAAAGTTTTGTACTGTGTAATTTTTGAGAATCTTACAAAACTGCTGCGGATCAGGTTTTGGTGTGCATGTTCATTTGAAGAAGTGTTGAAGTGTTGCATTTTAAAGGGTGACGCAAGTTAAGATTGAAGTAGGGTGTGGCAAGTGCTGTTTGATTAGTGAATGTGTAAAAGACTGACATTGAGAATATTGTGGCTTTGATTGTGACATAGTTTGAAGTAAGGCAAGGCTTGGAAAAACGGTGCGACAAACAGGGAAAGACAAGATTTGCTATGGTAGACAGCAAGAAAGAGTTTGAGCTAGCCGGGACTGATAAGGAGGAAGGAGAGTGGAGTTTTGTAGCAATATTCTCCTACTCCCTACCCCCTTCCCTTTCTCTCTTCGCTTGCGTGGTGCATTGCTCAACCCCCCTCCTATGTGAAATCCTGACTTTGTGTCGGGTCTGTTTTGTTCTTTTTTTTTCCTTTTTCTGTGGCAATGGGTGACTGTGTGTTCTGGATTAGAGATCAGACAAAGGGTAACTGAAAGTGTTGAAGTGTGAAAAGGGTAACTGAATGTTGTTAAAGTTGATAAAAGGGACAGAGAAGTATAATGATAATGATAATAATTGTTTTCTTTCCAAAGCAAGAAATAAAACAAATAGGTTTACAGGAACACTGCTGATCAAGGCTTTAGAACAAAGTAATTCAATAGAAATAATAAATTCTACAAAAACCATGACCAGAAAGGAAAAATTAGTTTAACTCCAGTTGCATTGGTAGGGTGTAAAGATCCTGAACACTTAAATGATATCCAAAAATTTACAAAGAAATGGGGACATTGAGTCAAGGGGTAAGAATTTTTATGACCTAGGGGAGGCACATCTGATGTGACTGTGTGTAAGGATTTGGAGCAGCAATTTGAAGACCATTAACACAAAGATAAAAGTAAAACACGCAAAAAACAAGAGATTTGGAACTTAAAGCACTGAACATGTTCAAAAGTGATGGCCAATACTATTTTATGAATAAATTAAAGATTGGGTTTTCAGAGCTAGAAAGCAATGAGGAGAAGGTGGAGAAAAGAAAGTCACAAACATGGAAAATAGGTAAAACATAAAAGAGATTTTGCAGCCAAATTCAGTATCAGAAAATGTAGGAAATTATCCTTCTCTTTTAGGGAAAGCTGATATAATATGTGATTTTGAGTTTGCTGAGGAAGACAAAGCCTACAACAAACCTTTGCCCGATTCCCTAAAGCAGTGGCCTCCATATGGCAGACCGCGGTCCACTTCCGGACCAGGAAAGAGTCCAATACGGACCCGAGCCTACCGCAGAAAAATGTATGTTTTTTTTCTCAGATTCAGATTTATCCGGTTTGAGTGCTCCAAACTCCCATTTTGGTGTGGTAAGGAGGCCTAATCGGACATAAATATGTGCGGTTTGAAATATATCCGCATTCGTGTAGTTCGGGCCTCAGTTCTCAGTTGCCAATCAGACTACCCTGCCAGCTGTCAATCAAAATCAGAGAGGAGGAAACCCACCCCTGCACATGTTCTGCACATGGAGTTACTCGCTGGCTGCTGGTGTTCAGCCGAGAAACGGGTGTCTGCTGAGAATTACTTTCGGAACTTTACTGACTGTTAAGCCCAACAAATAAGAACTATATGGGTTTTAAATGGTACATTTCCATGGACCACTCTATTATAAGTGGTGCGCGTTTTGCGAGGTGCATGCAATTCTAGGAGGACGTGCGTTTCTCGGCACAACACCGCTAACAACAACAACAACGATTGCAAAATGAGCAACGAACAAGAGAAAACCACCGAAAATTAAGATTTGTTGCCAAAAAGAAAAGGAAAGTCAGTTATCTGGAATTGCTTCGGTTAATAGAAGGATGATGTTGACCAAAACACGTGTTCTGTGTTCATCTGTCACCACAATAACGTCCCAGCACAATAAAAGCTAAAAATATCTCTGAGACAGACAGAAGCCATTCTAACATTCACAAAAAGAGGTAAGATCAGTGCAGGTTAACTGTCCTCAAGACTTCAGCAGTGCAGTATAACATTAAGTGCTATTCAGGTCATCTGGTGAAAATTCCTATATTTTTAATATCGCAAAATATATCGCAGGGTTGAAAAAAATTGCAATGTTAGTTTTTTCCAGTATCGTGCAGCCTTACTCTCTTGCTTTGTGCCTGGTTCAGTAAACTGCACGCGTAATTTCAGCAAGGCATTACATCACTTGCTTACTCGTTTGACTTGTCAATCAAATTAGACCTCTTAGCCTACTCGACACACGAAGATTACCGGCAGTCCCGATATTGAAATCTGTCAGGCGGCAGACTGAGGAGAAAGTTGTAGCAGCAGCTAAACATGTCGGCTTTAAAACCACGAAAAGTAGAGAATGAGAACAGGGTGTTTTATGGCAAGTGGACCGAGTCATTTGCATTCATTTTACCCGCAGGAAGCACACAGCCAATTGAAAGTAGGCAGTTATTGGCAATACAAATGAAGTGAATATTTCAAAAGAGTAATGCACTGTAAAAATAAATAAATAAATAAAAATCCCTGGACCCAGGCCTGCAGGCATTTCATTCAGGTGGACCCACTGAAAATTTATATGAAGACCCTTGCCCTGAAGTAATGATCATAAGTAATTGTTATGTGAATGATAATGATGATAGTGCTGAACAGTCAAATTGGTTTAATCTGGGTAACAATAACATAGACTTGCCACGTGAACTCTGTCACCCAATAGTACAAGTAGTAGTAGCACAAATACTTCCCAGATTAGGTAAGAAGCAGGGCCCGCAAATATCATGTGACCCTGCACAAAATATGATCTTAGATATAGGCCTAGATCACAGGTGTCAGGCTCAAGGCCTGGGGGCCAAATCTGGCCCGTGGAACAATTAAATCTGGCACATAAGATCAGATCATATTTGTATTATTTTTGGTCCACCAGTATGAAGTCTGCAGATTTCTTCCAGTATAACAATGTAAACTTTAGCACCTTTATTTAAAATGTCCTTAGTAAGCCAGGAAAATCTGGAAAACTAAAGAGTAAGGAAGATTTGATTTGGTCAAGAATATGGGAAAAAATATATATATTTGGTGTTTTATTTTATGTTTTCAATTTTGCATCTCAAGATTACAAGTCAAACATGATTGGATTTTTATTTTTTCGTGCTTTGATTTTGTTCAACTCAGTATTTAGACTTGTGTCATTTTAATACTTTAGATTCCAATTTTAAATTTTAAGTCATATTTTTACCTTTAAACCTGATTTCAACGTTCTTCTCGTGTATTTGCTGTTTAAATGCATTATTTTTCTGTTTTTAATATCATGCTCTGATCTTTTGAACTAAATAAATATAATAGAATAAAAACTAAAATGTTTCTATCTCAGGTTTTATCTCTTTTGAATTTCCAAATGATTTATAATCATTGCTATTTTTGTTCCATATGTTTTGAAAAGGAAGTTGACAGTTTTGGTGAAATGTTGACCCTCTTTGGCCCTCAGGTTAGACCTAAATCCAGATTATGGCCCTTGCTGTGGTTGAGTTTGACACCCCTGGCCTACATTAGGTTCACCTGAAAATGCACTGATAGTATGTTTTCAATCTTAAAAAAGGGCACACTGGCTAGCTGTGTGCTGTGGAAAACCACATACCTTGTTGGGCTGATTGCCAGACGACCACAAACTGAACAGGGGGCAGGGAGATGGATACGAGTTTGAGACCAGAATTATCTGTCTGTTGGAACATTTGAACTCTGCGGGAGTCAAGACGAGTCTAAACAAAGTGTTGAGGGTCAGAACAGTAAGACATGTCATCATGGGTAGAATTGATATGACATACCCATGATGACAGAACACACACACACACACACACACACACACACACACACACACACACACACCTGACAGCATGAAAGGGAGTAGAGGAAAAGCTAGGGAGGCTTCCCTCGGTCTTGGTCGAGACTCTGTTGGTCTGTACTGATTTCTACATCTGTACAATAAAAGACGCCCAGGCTGTTCTTCAGATCTCATCCTGTCTCCTGTGCATTGTTTTACTAAATTTATGTTGGATTTTACACAACACTATTAACTTAGCTTCCTCCAACTTCAAGTGATCCACAAGGATCTGGTACCTAAAGAATTTGGTACAGTCTGGTGGGAGCAGATTCTCCAAGGCAAGGCGGAGTCTAGCAAACTCACTGGGGTCTGGCTAAATGAGCTTGGGGATTGTAGGTTTGGGGCCTCTATACACTAGTTCTGATACAGGACTCTGTACAGGGTGGTTAGTGGGGAGAGAGCTGGGCATCCCCCTGGTGGCTGTTGGTGGAGGTGCTGTTTTAGGCAGTACTGGGGGTCTTGAGCCTGTGTCGGCAGGAGCAGGATGCAAGGGTGACTGAGAGGGCTGCACCAGGGGATGAGGATGAGGATGAGGATGAGGCGGGGTCTGATCATCAGGGGTAGGACAGGTGAACTGATAATGTGATGAGGTGGTTATAGGGGGCTTATAGGTTGACTGGGCTTGATCTGACAAACTGTGAAGAGGGAGGTTCTGCTGTGTGTCTTGTTGTGCCAGGTTGAGACTACTCTTGGCCTTTGGCAGGTTATCCTCAGGTTCAGGCCAGGGTGGAGGAGGAGGCCAGTCCTCTTCAGCTTCTTCGCCGGGCTGTGGTAAAATAGGATTGGGCTTGGAGGTTGCAGCACTGACTACAAGGGGTCTATTGCTGCTGTGACTTGAGGCCGAGCTAGTTGGCCGTTCCATATCCTCCCTCAATGAGCGAGCTACACCTATTAGCTCTTTCATCTCCTTTCAAGCTTCATACAGTTTCTTCAATGTAGCCTGAGAAACATGTTGGGACTTTAGCAGCTTTGCGTTCTCTTCCTGGATGCTTCAGATATCTGAATAGAAGGAGGGGTCTCGATAAAAACTCCATGGCTGTGAGGTGGGAGCTCCAGGTAGGATTTCTGTTGCTAGGGTTCTCCTTGGGGGGTGGCTTTAGGCTAGCTGAGGTGTCTCAGAGTGAGCAGCATCCCTAGGGAAGCCACCAGGAGGAGGCTGAGGTGAGTAACAGGGGTGGGGTGGGGGGGTGGGGGGGCAGCTGATTCTTTTAGGTTAATTACAGCAAACAAGATGTGGTGTCGGTCAGGACACGGGGAAGGAGGAAACTGGCATCTCTTCTTATACTGGTGCTTTATTCTGACACGTGGATATATGTATACATATATAGTTCTGAAAATACAAAACAGCAAAATACAATATTATTTCTCAAGTCAACAACTTCCTTCATGTGTTCACAGGTACAGTAAGAATAAACTCCATTCAAAACTATCCTCTGTATATTTATCAGAATCTAACAATGCTCAGAATGCATCCACGTGACAGAAATTCTGCGCTACACATGCACCGCTCTCTGCTGATTAAATGAGGGAGAAAACACAAGCACTCACAGACAGCGCACGTCAGCTCACGCATCGGCTCTGAAGGACTGATTCAGGAGTTATAAACAACAATGACATTCATACACATGGAACCGCTACGTATTAGCAAGATACGGCTATAGATATCCCATCGCAATCCCCAAACAAGGTGAGGATGAGACACAGCAGTGAGAGATACACACGTTACCACCGACATCTTATTCTAACAAACTAACCAGGCAATAAAAAACGCAGCGATCTGAACGATACTCACTTTTTTCATTCACTAATACCAGAAGTATATCTACTTCTCCGCGCCGTAGCGTTATCATTTACTGTAGCAGCAGGAGGAAGGGGTGGTGCTCCCCCTTTCAAAATAATAGCCATTTATACATTAATACATTGTGTTTGCAGGAAATTTTAGTTTATTTTATACTTTTAAATGTATTCAGTTGTTCTCATTGAAAGTAATCTGTGTTTATCAGCTGTTCAATAAATCTTAACAACTAAAAGTACTTCATTTGTATATTTTTTTACATTTATTTTGAGACAGTGTAGTTTTACAGTCCTTAAAAGGGGCAAAATAATAGCAATAAATGGGCCCAGGGGAGTCATACCATCAGTCATTACTGCCACTGCCCCTTCTATTGGCTAAACTTTTTTGCGTAGGGGGCACAGTGGGTAGTTATCGTCCATTTATCGTTACCAAGGTGTGTTGCTCAATATATTGTGTAGCGATTTCAAATTCAAAATAAATGTCGAGAATTAATCAAATTAAATTATGACATTTATGCACTCGTTGAAGGGGCACCACCCACCTTTCTGGTGGGAAAAAGGACGAAACAAAGTTCAATTGAGTAATTAAACGTTGGATCAGTCTTAAACAGATTTAAATCAGTCTCTCATCTGAGGCCGGAATTCTTCATTCAGGGACTACTTTCTGAAAGACCACTAAGACGACAACTTAAAATTAAATGGACAATTTATTAACAAGCTATATGATAACAAAACGTCAATAAATGATGATCAAATAATGAGCAAATCAAAGCACATCTAATGAATAAAAGAAGGAATGGTTTAAGTTAAACCTAAGACTGGAGGTTAATAATAGTGAGTGAATAAGGGGAAATTTAACCTACGTTAACGGAGTTACGAGGGTAAATAAAAAGGAATTTGGAGAACTAAACTATAACTTATAAGAGTAAGCTACTGAACGGTTGACAGCATCACCCAGTTCTCATCACAGCAGTTTAGAGGATTTTGCCTACTTTGGATGTCGGTTCTCCGCGGCACTCTTGGAATGGATCAGCTGAAGTTCTGTGGCTACCGGACCGGATACTGAAGGTTCAGCGGGGAGTTCTTCCGCCGTGTCTGGATCTCAGCTTCAGGACCGTGTCAGCGCCGTTAGATACTTCGGATCTCTGGGCCTCTCGGAACCAGGTGGCAAAGCAGCTCAGCAGATGATGCTGGTCGGCGTTCAGGACTAGCTTGGTTGCAGATTAATTTGCGCCAATAACTTAAGAAAATAATTTCGCTGGCCAGCCGATATTATCTTCAGGAGTCACTTTAGCGAACAAAATAAATAAAAAGACTTAGACTGAGGTTCTCTTATGCGCGCAGCTTGTTACTTAGGCTTTAATCGACTTGGGTATTCTTTCATCCAAGTTTTAGAACAAAAATCTGAGCTTAAGGCAATTAATAAAAACGCGGGGAAAATTGCGAACTATAGACGGAGACAAAGAAAACTACGAAGAAGACAAACTAGACAAAGAGCAAACAAGACTAAAACAAAACACGACAAGACTAAAACAAGACTAGAACAAGACAAAACTGAAGAGGCGGCAAAATCTCAACTCTTTTTAAGCGATTCACCGTAGGCGTGAACCAAAGATGAGAAAAGGGGGGGACCTCCCCAATGCAGCCCATCGACTGGCAGCGAATTAACTCAACTTGATAGTAAAAGCGAGCTAGATCTAATTTACTCACTCACTATGATTAAACTGTTTGTAACATCACATACGATCACATTTACTTCATTGTTTCTTATGAGCAGATGCATTAAAGCATGACATTGAAACCAGTAAACTTTTGATCAGCTGCCTTCTTGATAATAACAGAGGACTTTTAAAAGTTAGAGAGGGACAGAAAACAAATTATCTATTCGAACAGAAACACCATCCAGCATAAGAAACACATCCGTAATAATATTTGACAACACTATAACCTTGTCAATCAAGCTTCATAGATGATTAATATATATATTTGTGCGAGGTAGACAAAAGCATAGTATGGATACATTCAGAAACTCTTAACTTGAGTCTAAACGAGTTTCCCGTTACTACTTCTAAACTACTAGCCTATCTTGGGAATACCATTTACTAAGCTACGAAGCGTATAAAACAAAAGGGAAGAAATACACATGATTAGATTCCTGCCATTTGGCTCTGATCAAACCATATTCAGGCATCACCACTAGGAGGAGCTCTTGGTCCATGGAAAACCTGGAATAAATTTGTGAAGTTAACAGTTTGGCTTGTGGATATGTTACAGAATTGGGAAAAAGACCATTTCATTAAGAATGTGGTGTACAGACAGAAAATTCTGGTGAAGTGTCCATTAAACATGAAGTTAAACCATTTTCAGGCATCCTCTTCCTTCTGCTCTGTAAAGAAAGCCAAGGAATTTTATGGCAGGTATCTGGTTTTTCAGATTTGGCGCCAAATGGTTGGTTTTCCCTTTTAGGTCATTGGGTTAATCCTGAAGTGTCAATTCTGATCTTTCCCAGCCAGGGTGAGAGACTCCGTGTTTATGGGTCTGTGTGGTTGATAAGCAACTTGTCCTTTTTGGGAAGCGTTAAAGATTCACTATCACCTCCCAAATGGTTTCCTGGGTCGTAAATGGGAACTTGGTGTGCAAACCGTTTCTCCCCCATTTCCTATCCAAACCAGGGGAGCCTGCATCCCTTTGAGGGGTGAATTCAATGTGGATAGCAGAAAGCAGTTGTCTCATTACAATTGTGATATTGATTTTAGGCCATATCGCCCAGCCCTAGATGCAACTATCAAATATTTTAGTAATCAAGTATTCTACCAAATATTCCATCAAATACTCAATTAATCAGACCCAAACGGCAGACTCACATACAGTGAGTTTTCCTACATCTTAGATCCAAGCTCCAACCCTGGAGCCCTGCTATGAAGGCCTGACTCTGAAAAATAGAGGACAATTGTGGAACAAGCACATACATTAGCGGATTGCAATGAGGGTGTAGAGCGTGTCTCAAAAAAGTCAGCACGGGAGAGCAGCTTCTGCCTTGCACTAGTGTAGCGATTTGAATTTCAAAATAAATGTCGAAAATTAATCAAATTAAATTATGACATTTATGCACTCGTTGAAGGGGCACCACCCACCTTTCTGGTGGGAAAAGGACGAAACAAAGTTCAATTGAGTAATTAAACGTTGAATCAGTCTTAAACAGATTTAAATCAGTCTCTCATCTGAGGCCGGAATTCTTCATTCAGGGACTACTTTCTGGAAAGACCACTAAGAGGCGACAATTTAAAATTAAATGGACAATTTATTAACAAGCTATATGATAACAAAACGTCAATAAATGATGATCAAATAATGAGAATATCAAAGCACATCTAATGAATAAACAAAGGAATGGTTTATATCAAACCTAAGACTGGAGGTTAATGATAGTGAGTGAATAAGGGAAAATTTAACCTACGTTAACGGAGTTACGAGGGTAAATTTAAAAGGAATTGAGAGGACTAAACTATAACTTATGAGAGTAAGCTACTGAACAGTTGACGGCATCACCCAGTTCTCATCACAGCAGTTTCGAGGAGTTTGCCTACTTTGGATGTCGGTTCTCAGCGGCACTCTTGGAATGGATCAGCTGAAGTTCTGTGGATACCGGACCGGCGTGAAGATTCGGCGGGGTTTCTCCGCCGTGAATGGATCTCAGGCTTCAGACCGTGTCAGCGCCATTAGATACTTCAGATCTCTGGGCCTCTCGGAACCAGGTGGCAAAGCAGCTCGGCAGATGATGCTGGTCGGCGTTCAGGACTAGCTTGGTTGCAGATTAATTCGCGCCAATAACTTAAGAAAATAATTTCGCTGGCCAGCCGATATTATCTTCAGGAGTCACTTTAGCGAACAAAAATAAAATAAAAGACTTAGACTGAGGTTCTCTTATGCGCGCAGCTTGTTACTGATGCTTTAAAGGAACTTGGGTATGGTTTCATCCAAGTTTCTGGAAAAATCTGAGCTTAAGGCAATTAATAAAACGCGGAGAAAATTGCAAACGATGGACGAAGACAAAAGAAAAACTACGAACAAGACTAAAACAAAAGACTAGACTCAAACGAAGACTAACTAAACAAGACTCAAGGGCGGCCAGAGCTCAACTCTTTTTAAGCGGTTCACGTGGGCGTGAACCAAAGAGAAAAGGGGGGGAACATCCCCAATGCAGCCCATCGACTGGCAGCGAATTAACTCAACTTGATATTAAAAGTGAGCTAGATCTAATTTACTCACTCACTATGATTAAACTGTTTGTAACATCACATACGATCACATTTCACTTCATTGTTTCTTATGAGCAGATGCATTAAAGCATGACATTGAAAACAGTAAACTTTTGATCAGCCGTTTTCTTGATAATAACAGAGGATTAACGACTTTTGAAAGTTAGAGAGGGACAGAAAACAAATTATCTATTCGAACAGAAACACCATCCAGCATAAGAAACACATACGTGATAATACTTGACAACAATATAACCTTGTCAATCAAGCTTCATAAATGATTAACATATATATTTGTGTGAGGTAGATAAAAACATAGTATGGATACATTCAAAAACTCTTAACTTGAGTCTAAACGAGTTTCCCGTTACTACTTCTAAAACTACAAGCCTATTTTGGGAATACCATTTACTAAGCTACGAAGTGTATACAACAAAAGGGAAGAAATACACATGATTAGATTCCTGCCATTTGGCTCTGATCAAACCATATTCAGGCATCACCACTAGGAGGAACTCTTGATCCATGGAAAACCTGGAATAAATTTGTGAAGTTAACAGTTTGGCTTGTAGATATGCTACAAAACTGGGAAAAAGACCATTTCATTAATGAGGTGGTGTACAGATAGAAAATTCTGGTGAAGTGTCCATTAAGCATGAAGTTAAACCATTTTCAGGCATCCTCTTCCTCCTGCACCTTAAAGAAAGCCATAGAAAAACACAGTCATTCAAAGGATTTATGGCAGGGATCTGTTTCCAGCACATGGCGCCAAATGCAGCCTTGTTTCCATTTGGGTCATCTTGTTTAATCTGAGGTGTCAACTCTGATCTTTCCCAGCCAGGGTGAGAGGCTCCATGTTTATTGGTCTGTGTGGTTGATAAGCAACTTGTCTTTTTGGGAAGCGTTAATGATTCATTATCACCTCCCAAATGGAACTTCCTGAGTCGTAAACTGGAAATTGGTGTGAACCATTACTCCCCCATTTCCTCTCCAAACCAAGGGAGACTGCGTAATAATAATAATGCATCAGTTTTCATATAGCGCTTTATCAGAGACCCTCAAAGCGCTTTACATTGGATACATCATTCATTCGCTCACACAATCACACTTTGGTGGTGGTGGAAACGTGGCTGCCATTCTGCGCCTACGGCCTCTCCGACCACCACCACACAACACTCGCAATCATACACCAGTGGAGGACACACACTGCATTCCTTTGAGGGGTGAATTAAAGGTGGATAGCAGAAAGCAGTCGTCTTGTTACACTAGGGAGCAGCATCAGCCTCACAACTGTAGCAATTTGAATAAATATCTGAAGATTAAGAATCTCAAACTATGACATTTATGCACTCGTTGAAAGGGGCACCACCTAGCCTTAATGGTGGGAAAATAAAGAAAAACAAAAGTTTGATTTCGAAATCAAACATTAAGTCAATCTTAAATTAATCAATCTCATATCTCAAGCCGAAATTCTCATTTCAGGGACTCCACTTCTGGAAGAATACTAACAGACAGGAGCTTAGAAAAATAACAATCTGTTTATTACAAGATAAATGATGGTACAACATACATGCAATAAATGATGATAAGATAATGAGGATAAATAATAGGTGAATAAAAAAAGATTCTGAGTCAGGTTAGGAGCACTAAAGTTAATGATAGTGAGTGAATATGCTTTAACATATTAACCTACACTAACTTTGGTGTCAAGATAAATTTGGATGAACCTAGGATTTCCAGAGTAGGTGAATATCTGAGTTATGACGGCATGAGACAGCATCAGCCCTGTTTGGAGCTCTGGCGGTTTGCATACTTAAGTGAGACTGGTCCTTGGAGAAGATGGAGCAGGTACCAAAGGTCCGGGGCTACCGATGGTTCGAGCGGTTCAGCTCAGAAGACGACTGAAGTCAGTTGTAGGATGCGCCAGGAGTCGCAGCACCCGGGCCCGAAGCAAAAGCCAGTGCCGTATGGATCCTATTCGATGCTCCTTTCTCAGTAGTAAGAGCTAAGAGAAAACAAAGACAGAGGGCTAAGCAGTAGAGTAAAGAGGACAAGAGGAATGTGAGTGTGTAAGAGAGCGAGCAACCCCACTAAACTGGTTTTATCCTCTCACACTGGGAGTGTCTCTGGTGTGAGTGTGAGGAGAAAGAGGAGGGGTCATGGGGTCTCCAAGCAGAGGAGACCTCAGATCTCTGATTATTTGATCTAACTTATACTTTTGGCTGGTAAGAGTCAGATCTGATACTCACTCACTATGATTAATATCATTGAATGCTTTGTTTTATGAAATAATTTGATATTAAACACATATGAATGAAATGTAGGATCACATCAAACATTCTCATTATGTTTTAAGTATCACATTGAACATGCTAAATTACTCTGAAATTTAACAGATAGTAACACATAGAAACTGTGAACAACAAGAGTAAACACATGTGAATGAACTTCATCATGATTAATAATGGATTCTAAATACTCACATTCATTATAACCACCAAATGGTAAAAAAAAAAAAAAATAAACAATTAAAATATTTAATATATATATAAATTAAGCGAAGAAGAGTCACGATCTATGGTAGACCCAATCACAAAAGAAGAAATTGAGGATGTGATAAAAAGCTTAAAAAACAACAAATCTCCAGGAGTAGATGGCTTCCCGGGGGAATTTTATAAGTGTTTTGTGAAAGAGATCAGTCCCCTTTTACAGAGGGTATTTCATCATGCCCTTGGGGAAAAGGAGCCTCCTAAGAGTTGGTCAGAGGCAATTATCACTGTGATTCACAAAGAGGGGAAGGATCCCACTTTCTGTGCCTCATATAGGCCTATAAGCCTATTATGCAATGATGTGAAGATACTGAGCTCTATTATGGCTAGAAGAATACAGAAGTGCATTACAAAAATAATCAACCCAGATCAGACAGGCTTCATGCCTGGATGTCAAGGAATACATAATATAAGGAGAACATTGAACGTAATATCTATAGCTTGTAAAAGTAAACAAACCTCTATGCTCCTGAGCCTAGATGCGGAGAAAGCCTTTGACAGACTAGATTTCCAATACTTGGAACATGCTTTGGACAAAATGGGATTTCATTCAAATTTCATTGACTGGATCAAAGTTCTGTACTCTGATCCAGTATCAAACGTTAGAGTCAATGGCTATACATCTGACCAATTTAAGTTGAGGAGAGGGGCAAGGCAGGGATGCGTTAATAAGGGGAAATCCGAATATATCTGGAATATCAAACAGTTGCAAGCCACATGTCATATCATTATATGCAGACGACGTCATTCTATACGTTAGTAATCCCTTGGAGTCAATCCCAGTGATTATGGACTGCTTAGGCAAGTTTGGTTCAGTGTCGGGATACAAAGTTAACGAATCTAAATCAAAAGCAATGATGCTGGCCGGGGAGTTCCCACCCCAGTTGGCGGGGAAGGTAGCATTTAACTGGTCACCCCAGGGTTTTAGATACTTAGGGATTAAGATAACACCAGACACTTCAAAACTATACAAAGCCAACTATGGTAGATTAATAGACCAAATAAAATCTGATCTGGCACGCTTGGAGATTCTCCCACTTTCATTGTTTGGCAGGATTGAAACGATCAGGATGAACATTCTACCCAGGCTGTTGTCTCTTTTCCAGGCATTGCCTGTCTGGATTCCTGAATCCGTGTTTAAATCACTAGATAATATGATGTCTACATTTATATGGCAAAAGAGGAAACCGAGGATCAAATGGAAAATGCTTAATACCCAAAAGAACAAGGAGGACTCAACCTCCCAAACCTGAGACATTATCATTGGGCGGCACAGCTGAACGGAATAGTTGAATGGATAAAGCAGGATAACGATACAAACTGGCTAGACCTGGAAAGAAACTCATGTCCAAGGGTTCCTCTTGAGTCATTACCCTCTTTGGAGTTAAAAAAGTGGAATAATCTTAAATTGGATAACGAATGGATGAGTTGTACCTACAAAGTCTGGTCTTTGGTGAGGAAAAAATGTAAGATGTCTTTATCAATATCAAGAGCCACCAGAATAGATAAGAACGAGGAGTTTAAACCAAGCAAACTGGACTCTGGGTTTAAAGTATGGATAGACAAAGGACTTGTCACGATACACCAGCTGCTTGAAGGGGATTCTATTAAATCATTCAAAAATTTACAAGATAAATTTGGGTTGGATACAAAAGACTTTTACAAATATCTACAGATGAGAAGCTATTTACTGTCACATAAGGACTGGGAGACTATCAGGCGACCTCCGACCCCTCTGGAATTATTTTTGATTAGGACAACAGAAGAGAAAAAGGGGAAAAAAATTATCTCACAAATATATAGCTGTCTGCAATCCCTCACCTCAGGGAATACAAAGGAAATAAAAGCAAAATGGGAAGTGGAAATGACTGTCAATATAGAGGATGAGGAATGGGAGACAGCCTGTGAAGGAGGTCACAAAATCACAAACAGCCCACAGTGGAAAGAATTTAATTGGAAATTAAAAATGAGATACTTCAGAACACCTTCTATGATATCCAGATTCGATAAAAACAGCTCAGAGTTGTGTTGGAGGGACTGTAAGCGGATTAGTGACCACACCCATATTTTCTGGGATTGCCCTAAATTGAAAACATACTGGGAGGGAATACGCAGAGAAATATTGGCTATTTTGAATATAAACTTGCCACTAGACCCAAAAGTGTATATAATTGGAGCGGTTCCAGAGGGGTTCGTTAGTAAAAACTAAGGGTGTGGAAAATAATCTAAATTAATCGATGCATCGAGGCGCATGTGCGCGATGCGACTGCGTCGGCTCATTCACTGGGTATCGATGCAATTGACGGGTTAAATCTAGATTCATCTAGATGCGTTGGTGGGTATCGGTAAAATCCGATGCAAGCGCCGTTTTATTCATGTTAAACTTCACCCCACCTGCTGTTCCCCAGGCGCATTGAATGCACCATCATTATTTCGCGTTTTGTATTGAATACGGATGGAAGCCGTGAGGGACATACAATGCACTACTAGTAAAACAGCATGGACCACATTCAAGTGAGCAGCAGCGAGGAAGAGTTTATATGTAATGCACCCGCTACGTTTAAATCATATGTTTGGAAACACTACGGATTTGCAAAGAAAGACGGAAAGCTCGACAAAACGTCTGTCATTTGCAAAGAATGTCGCATTAAGAAGCTGTACAACGGCAGCACGACAAACATGCAGACCCACTTAAAAAGAGTACGCCACATCACCGACAAGTCTAACGCCACCTCCCCTCCCTTAACATTGATTGCACTGTTGAAAGTGTCACTTTAGGTTACTCATTGAGAGTGTTTTGTTGTTGCTGTTTACTGTACTTTTTAGAGCAGTAATTACTGTGCAATTGTTTTACTCTTTTATTATTGCAGAACTCACTCAAATCACTGATTTTCAGTGGCCAGTTAGAAAGTCAACTCTAGCACATTGGTTTGGCAGACAGTAGTATGGCCATTGAATGGTTTATTTGCACCATGTTAGGCAGTGCATTAGTTTTTTAATAATGTGTACTGTAATATTACCCAACAAGTATAGAGCACTTGTGTGATGTAGGTTTTTTTTTTTGATTTTATTGATTCAGATTCCTTAACAGTTGCAGGAGGTCTGTCTAATCTGTGTAACTGTACAAAATGGAACCCAAAGGAGCATAGAAAAAAGACAAAAAGCACTTTTGTTGAATTTACTGCCAAGTGCCTTTAAGGAATAAAGCCAAATCATTTTTGTAGTACCATACTGAATTCCATCTTTTATTTTTATTTCTTTTTTTTCTTTGCTTATTTGCATCATGTTGAATTGCATCATATCGCAACAAATTGCATCATATCGGATCGGATCGCATTGATTTGAACTAAATGATTATCGTATCGCATCATGAAGAGGGTGAATCGTTTCGCATCATTTCGCCCGAAAATTCCATGTATCGTTAAAGTATCGTATCGCTGGCAGTGCATCGAGATGCGTATCGAATCGTCCTCAGTGCTGAGATTCACACCCCTAGTAAACACGTGTTACACATTCTACACATTCTCTTACTGGTTGCAAGAAAGATGATCACCCTATCATGGCTGCGACCATTACCACCTACAATCAACCAATGGCATGAGAGGTTGCTGAAAGTATATAATATGGAAAAGATCACTGCGATGCTTCAGATGAAGTACGACACATTTCTAAAAAACTGGGCCCCACTGATACATTACCTTAAGCTTTCTACATGAGGGTAAACGTATGAGCTATGCTTATACTGAGCAAGACGAAGTTGTAAACCCCTAATTCGAAGCCTGCCCCATGTGTATTCCCATTCAAAGTATCAATTTACTTAATATGTTTGCTGTGTTGTTTTTCTTTTCTTTTTTTTTTCTGCGCGCTAGTTTTTCGTTCTGTGTCGATGTTCTATGTTCTTATTATTTTACTCTGGTTTGTTTGCTTGCTGAGAGATGTCTTATACTTTGTAATTGTATTGCAACATAATGGCAAATAAACACCTTTGTTCAAAAAACAAAACAAAAAAAAAAAAAACAATTAAAATATAAACCAAACATTTCTAAACCATCTCTGTTACTTAGAGTAAAGTTATGATTCATAGTCAAAAAATTTAACTCTTTAAAGTTCATGAAACAGTCTGAAAAGCTGTTGGTCTAAAGAAACTAGAGAATAAGGATTTATTCTGTCAGAGTGATAACTTGGCTTCTGGAGCACATAGAAAAATGGGACACATGTCATTTTAACACAAATTTCATGATTAGACAGATTAGTACATTGCTGAATGCATGATGATGTCATGATCAGTCATTTGTATTCTTTCACCAAAGGAATGCAGTTTTTATCAGTACATGGTTGAGCAAGGTTTTACGACCGAGGTCTGGAGGTCAGTGTCCTGCTCCTCAGACCTTATCTTGGGGTCCGTATGTTTAAGACGGTAAATCTCAAATGGGAGACCTGGATTGAGGCATGAATGATTATTTAGACAGTCAGCAATGGAGTCAGTTTGAAAGGTAATAAAAACTCTGTCTCTGTTCTCCGAATTGACCAATTGTGAAGAGTCAGAGGTTTGGTCAACCTCCGGTCGGGTCAATTAGGTAACCTGAAAGTGCAAAGAAGTCTGGAAAGATTTATATCCGTTGTCCTGGGACCAGATAAGGAAACTTTCCTGCGAGGAATGTGTGAGTTTCACATACAGGGTTGTCTTGATTGCTCCACAACCAATCAGGTCGGAGAGGTGGAAAACGGCTTTTTCACAGTCCGAATTGGCGGACCACTCAAAAATTCTAAAATGTTGACAACACAGACAGAAGGGAGCACAGTGATATCGTCATATTCTCAAAAGTCATCAATACCTTATAACTGTTGACTGATATTAAAAGCTTTTTTGTAAATACACCACAAAAAAAGATGCTTCTTTAAAGACCCGCTCTGTTGATAATCATGTTTTTCTTGTTGTCTACATGTCCATATGGCATTTTTCTGAAGCTACAGGACATAATCTGGAAAACTAAGTACAAAGTTGCATTTCTGAGTGTTTCTGCATTCAAATGGCTGTGAATTTCTGGCAAATCCAAACGGCAGGGTCAGATACAGTGAGATTTCCTACATAGCAAAACCAAGCTCTGTCCTATGCAGGCCAGCCTTGGAGAAATGGAGAGAACAATCACAAAACAAGCATGTGTGTTAGCGGATTGCAATGCTTGTAAGAAAGCTAATTCTGATATTTGCTTTCATCATGCCCCTAAAGACATCAGTGTCCGAAAACCGAATAGCTCCTATGTTACCTGCTTCCTCTACTACACCGGCGATGTTAGGCTGCAAGCTAGCATGAAGAGGAGTGTGCAGAGCAGCGCTGTCTCTGCCCACGACTCAGAGATGAATTGCTAATGAGCTACTGGAGCTCTGCAGAAGAAAAGCCCTTGAAAATGACACAGGCAACATGATTTTGGCTAAAAACGTCATGGTTATAACTTTAAGACCACTGATAAGAGTAGTAAAAAAAAAAAAAAGTCCCACCTTTAAGGTTGGGACTTGACTGTTGCGATTTGGCGCTATATAAATAATTGATAAAGAAATTGGTGACAGTCTGAAATGTGATTCGAGCAATTTGAGAAAAAGAGGAGATGAGAGAAAAAACTGGGAGTAGAGAAGGAGAGGATTCAGAAAAAGAGGGGACATCAAGCAGTTAACTCATCTTTGTGACGTTTAAGCTCAGACAGCAGCAGACAACACATGAAGCCTTATTTTCAAAAGGATCATTAAAATGAACCTAACCATCCAGCAGAGGAATTTTACCATCTCTCTGTCAGACCTGAAACCATAGACTGTATATACCAGTGGTCTCCATATGGCGGACCGCGGTCCACTTCCGGACCGGGAAAGAGTCCAATACGGACCCGAGCCTACCGCAGAAAAATGTATGTTTTTTTCTCTCTTGTAGGCCTGCACGATATACGTGTGTGCGATAGTCACATCGCAGAGCCTGCGATGTCGGAGGTGAATGAACTCAGTTAATTTCAAGGGTAGCTGACTGAGATACACTGCATGTGACTCTGCATGTGCTTTGCAGCGATCCACCAATCAGACTCAGTTCTCAGTTGCCAATCAGACTACCCTGCCAGCTGTCAATCAAAATCAGAGCGGAGGAAACCCACCCCTGCACATGTTCTGCACATGGGGGGAGACGCGTGTCCGCTGAGAATTACTTTCGGAACTTTACTGACCGTTAAGCCCAACAAATAAGAACTGTATGGGTTTTAAAATGTATATTTCCGTGGACCACTCTACTATAAGCGGTGCGCGTTTTGCGAGGTGCATGCAATTCTTGAAGGGACATGCGTTTCTCGGCACAACACCGCTAAAAACAACAACAACAATGCAAAATGAGCAACGAACAAGAGAAAACCACCGAAAATGAAGATTTGTTGCCAAAAAGAAAAGGAAAGTTAGTTATCTGGAATTATTTTGGTTAAAAGAAGGATGATGTTGACCAAAACACGTGTTCTGTGTTCATCTGTCGCCACAATAACGTCCCAGCACAATAAAAGCTAAAAATATCTCTGAGACAGACAGAAGCCATTCTAACATTCACAAAAAGAGGTAAGATCAGTGCAGGTTAACTGTCCTCAAGACTTCAGCAGTGCAGTATAACATTAAATGCTATTCAGGTCATCTGGTGAAAATTCCTATATTTTTAATATCGCAATATATATCGCAGGGTTGAAAAAAATCGCAATGTTAGTTTTTTCCGATATCGTGCAGCCTTACTCTCTTGCTTTGTGCCTGGTTCAGTAAATTACACGTGCAATTTCAGCAAGGCATTACATCACTTGCTTACTCCTTGACTTGTCAATCAAATCAGACCTCTTAGCCTACTCGACACGCGAAGATTACCGAACAATCCCGATGTTGAAAACTGTCAGGCGGCAGACTGACGAGAAAGTTGTAGCAGCAGCTAAACATGTCGGCTTAAAAACCACGAAAGGTAGAGAATGAGAGCAGGGTGTTTTATGGCGAGTGGACCGAGTCATTTGCATTCATTTTACCCGCAGGAAGCACACAGCCAGGCAGTTATTGGCAATACAAATGAAGTGAATATTTCAAACATTGCGCAGTTGCATTCTATACACTCCACCACTTGTGCAGTAGCATTGTATGCATTTGGCGGGAGAGTCGCCGAAAGTCGCTGTGATGACGCCCTGCTCAAACAGCGTATCCCCAGGGTGAGCTATGCAATCTTCATATGCCCAAAGACTGTATCAAGTGTCAATCATAGAAAACATCAACCCCCTAATAACTTTTAAAAATGGAGCTGCACAGAAAAAGGAGGACTTGAGCACAATCCATTTTTACAGTAACTACATGCAAACATCTCAAGCAGCGGGGAGAAAAAATTATATTCTGTGTAATAAACTTCTAAAGTTTGTCCACAGCTCCATAAAGATAGCTGGTGAAGGCAGGATTTATGACCTATACTGCAGCCCATCACCAGAGTGTGCTGTTTTTGGAGTGGCTTCACCCAGCGAGGAGGCAGACGGCGTCCATTCTATATACAGTCTATGCCTGAAACCAACCCAGACCCTCTCAGGCAGCCCTTATAATCAGCTAGCTACAGCATGCCTGTATTATCCGTATTTCTTATGTTCATTCAAATGGAGCTTAATGAGCAATGAATAAACATTTCAAAGCCTCATATCCTATTTCTGGATAGCTACATTAATATTGAATAACGCTATTATAAAGTAGGTGTATTTGCTCTGTCATAGGGCATGAACTTCACAGTTGAGTCTGTATTTTTTTTTGTTTTTTTATTTCACTTACCATTTCAATCAGCAGTATTATAAAAAGATGAGTCAATGCCAAACGTTTGGATAACACTGTGATTGTCAAACTTTTCTGCCCCCCTTTGGTGGTGAACATTTCTGAACAAAATTAGGACCAAGAATGAAGTTGTTAACGTCCTGGAAAAGTCATTACCCTCTCTTTTATTCATTTCAGTTTGGCATATTTGTAGTGTGGCTGGTGAGTTGTGAGGACCCAGAAGCAGACACAGAGACTGAGATCAACTTAAGGTGTAATTTAATGTTCAAAAAAAGGTTGTAAATGCAAAAGAGGAAGTCCGGTAGGCTGGCTGTCATGTGAGCTGTGTCCGAATTGCCAAGTAGTAGTTGAAGTAGTATCTAGCATGTCCGAATTGGCCACCGGAGCGAGTAGCATGCTACTTCAGATACTGCTTCAGATATGCCCACATTGTAGGTTGGTCTTGGTGCATCATACGGGCATGCTACTGACCCAAAATGCACAGCGGGCTTCTTCTTCGTCCTCTTAAAAGTTGTAGAAGCGCATGTGATGCTAGCGCCACCAGCTGCTGCCTATTTACTCAACTCAACTCAACTCAACTCAACTTTATTTGTAGAGCACTTTAAAACAACCACAGCTGTACAAAGTGCTGTACATAACAGGACAAAAACAACAAGATAAAAAACAATCAAGAAACAATTAAAACAATGGATAAAATAAAAGCAGAATTAATAATAAAATATAGCTTCAATGTTTTTAAAAACTAATTTAAAAACATAGAAACAAATAACTAAAAACAAACCATAGAACACTAAAACAGGAGCCGAGTCTCATGCAGGGTTAAAAGCCAATGAATAAAAATGGGTTTTAAGACGAGTTTTAAAAATGGACAGTGTGGGGGCTTCTCTAATTTGGAGGGGTAGCTCGTTCCATAAAATTGGGGCAGCAACAGAAAAAGATCTATCCCCTCTGAGCTTCCGTTTGGACCTCGGTACCTCCAGGAGCAGCTGATCAGCTGACCTGAGGCACCGAGCTGGGGTGTAGGGGTGGAGAAGCTCAGAGAGGTATGATGGAGCCAGACCATTTAAAGATTTAAAAACAAATAAAAGAATCTTAAAATGAACTCTAAAATGCACAGGTAACCAGTGGAGGGAGGCCAGGATGGGAGTAATGTGCTCCCTCTTACGTACTCCAGTTAAGAGCCGGGCGGCTGCGTTTTGAACTAACTGGAGACGTGAGAAGGAGGACTGGCTGACTCCAAAATAAAGTGCGTTACAGTAATCCAGCCGAGATGTAACAAAGGCATGGATTACTGTTTCAAAGTGCGTACGTGAAAGAAAAGGCTTTGCCTTCGCCAGCTGCCTAATATGATAAAAACTGGATTTCACTACGGAGCTAATTTGCCTGTCGAATTTAAAATCACTGTCCATCTTAAAACCCAAATTTGAGACGGTTGGCTTTAAATAATCTGCTAAAATACCCAAGTTTACAGGAGGGGTTTCACAAGGGCCACTGGGACCAAAGACCATCACTTCCGTTTTTTTTTCATTGAAGTTTAAGAAATTCAAAGCCATCCAGGCTTTGATGTCTTCAAGACACGCCAGAAGTGGAGTGAGGGAGAAAGCATTTTTTTTGTTAAGTGGCACATATATCTGACTGTCATCAGCGTAACAATGAAATGAAATGCCATGCTTTCTCAAGATGGATCCCAGGGGCAGCAAATATAAAGAAAAGAGCAGGGGCCCTAAAATCGACCCTTGTGGAACCCCATACGGCAGTGGAGCAGAGCTGGACTTTATATCTCCAAGGCTCACGCTCATAGTTCTGTCGGTCAAATAAGACTTGAACCACTCTAGTGCAGTACCACGGACACCTATAAGGTAGCTTAGCCGAGCCACCAGAGTATTGTGGTCCACTGTGTCGAAGGCTGCAGTTAGATCTAACAGAACAAGAATAACATAATCACCAGAGTCATTTGCCTGGAGGATGTCGTTAAAAACTCTTATTAAAGCAGACTCTGTGCTGTGGCGAGATTTAAAACCAGACTGGAAGACCTCCAAGACACCATGCTCATCCAGAAAAGACTTTAGCTGAACATGAACATTTAGATGCGTCGCGAACGCCGGCTGGCCACAGCAGCGCGCACCATGTCGGAGCAGCAGCAGCAGGCGGGACCGCAGCAGTACAGATGTAAATTTCATGTAACTTCACACACTGTCCTAAAAAATGTGCGGTTGTATCTCTTTGTCATGTCATGGTGTCATATTTGCCCAAGTAATCATTTTATGAGCAAATATGTGGCGACATCATGGAGGTAAAGCTCACTTATTCCATCATTAAATTGCACAGCTGCAGTAATCAGGCAGATCTCATGGAACAAACGATCACCACGTGAGTGAATGAAGGCTAAAAGTAATGGAAAAGCTACTTTGTGAATTTCTAAAGCAGTGCAGGAATATAATACAGCAGCATCCATCACTTGCACAATTACCATTCAAAGAGTCTAAAACTGTAACATGACTTGGAGGGGACAGAGAGCAGACCTAAACATTCGTCAGCTTTCTGTTTTCTACCATTTTTAGCCAAGGTTTGTTTATTCCAGTAGCATGTGTATTTCTTAGGGACGGACGACCAGACTGAACATTTAATCAGGTGGCGGCTCAGCCATGACCACCTGTACAGCGGGCGCAGAAATACGGCCAGGAAGGCATTTGAGTAAGTCAAGCCATTCATATGTTTCATGATTCTTCATACAATACGTGTGTCTAATTGTTACCTCACAATACACTGTGTTTGGCCTTCAGGAGGTTCTTGCAGGACAGCCCCAGCCTCCCGCCTCACATCACGGCTGAGAGTGCCAAAAAAAAATGGGACAACCTGAAAGACAAATATCGAGTATGTTGGGCCAACATCTGTCATCAACAGTCAATCCTCCTGTTAATTATGAAGGTTAATCTTGATACTCTCATGTCCTACAGAGACTGAAGGCTCCCAAGACAGGCGTCAGCACCGAGGGTGGTGAGGATACAGCAGCGTCCTGGCCATGGTTTGAGCTGATGGATGAGGCTTTAGGGGAGCGGCCCAACATCACGCCACCATGCCTCATCGCATCAGCTGGCCAGGATGCTGGTGTATCCTCACCACCCTCAGCCATGGTGACGCCTGCAGAAACACCCTGCAGCTCCCCATCAACCTCCAGCTCCACCACACGGCCCTCCAGCTCCACCACACGGCCCTCCACGCCCACAGAGGCTTCCACCTCCACCGCTGCTCCACGCTCCACCTCACCACCCGCCAACCCTCGGAGCCAGGGCAGCTCTCCACCAAGGAGGGGGAGGAGGAGGAGGAGGCCAGCATTAGAGGACATGTGGCAGGAGGTGGAGGCCAGATTGGAGGAGCAGGAGAGGGAGGCTGAAGCCAGGGAGGAGAGGAGGTGGAGGGAGTGGATGGACAGAGAGGAGAGAAGAGACAGGGAAAGGGAGGAAAGGGAAGAAAGAAGAGAGAGGGAAAGGGAGCAAAGGGAAGAAAGAAGAGAGAGGGAAAGACAGGAGAGGGAGGACAGAAGGGACAGGGAGGCTTGGGAGAGGGACGAGCGCTTTTTAAACATTTTGGACCTGCTGGCCAGGAGGCAGTAGGAGTTTTGTGTTAGAGGATTTCAGTGTGTGTATGTTTAATGTAGGCGATTGCTTTATGTTTGAGTAGGGGGCCCGACATTTTAAATGTTACGGTTTTTTGTTCTTAAATGCCTCTGTTTCTGTTATGGCACTATGAGTTTTCCTGAAGATGATTCGCCTCTCATCCAAGAAGCTTGATTTGATTTTATTTAGCACATTTGTTAAAAGGACAATACAATTGTAACAATAGAGTAAAACATAGAAAATAAAGTGCCAGGGAGAGGCAAAGAAGCCCACAGGGCTTATGTGAGGCCTCTACCTATGTAGAACATACAATTTTAAAGGGGACCTGCCACCAAAATTTCATACCAATTTTTATCATTTTTTCATAATCCTTGATGTCCTCTGATCATGTTTGCAACATAATTTTAGCTGAAAAGTTATTTGATGGTTTGTTTTAGTATGCCTAAAAAACCTTACAGGAAAACCAACTGGTTTTGGCTCATTAACATTTATGGTAATGAGCTTTGCTCTGATTGGATCGCTGCTGTGAAGCCTGCTGTGCTCTGATTGGCTCAGCAGTGGAGGTTCGGATTTCGGTTTATCCATTGTTATTATGCTAATGCTAATAGCATATGCTAATGTGTGCTAAAGTAAGGTGCCCAGATGTCTGTAATGATATCCGGGGATATTCGGTGCGGCGGTGGCGGTGCAGGGGCTGCATGGGCTGCATGGGCTGTGTGATCACAGACAAAGTCTCGGTACTATTTAGTAGCAGCGCATGCCCCTTGTAATAACCCCCGTAAGAACTGTTGTTCAGGACTGCTAACCTGTGCTTCCTACCTATTCGGCTACTGTAATAACCGTTGTTCGAGCCCACACGCAACATTTTTGCTCTCATTAATGAAACGCTTAAATCGGGGACATTTTCGGGGATAGCTTTTGCCGGGGACAGATCATCCAATACGGGGACTGTCCCCGGAAATCGGGGACGTCTGGTCACCTTATGCTAAAGGCTAAAAACGGCAGGTATTAAACCATATATTTTAGACCCCAAGTCCAAAGAGGAGGTGGAAGTTGAGGAAGAAGCCGGAGATCTCCAGCGGTGTTCTCTCATTCATTCTGCCCGGCTTTAAGTTCATTTTCCCGGCAGTGAACCGAAGAAAACACCGATCGTTTGGAAGAGACCCATAGCGGATACAGCGGTAGCTGGGTCTCGCTCTGGCTGTGACTGAGTACGAGAACGAGAGAGTGGACACGGCTCACTGAGGACGCGCTCGTGAATAATAATGAGCAACGTCGGCGCAACGTAACACCGACCTGCTTTTCCAATTGGCCTGGTTTACTCGTTCCTTTATTTTAAACCTTGACAGAATGCAAACGACGTAACGGTTTGTTTTCACATGTACAACATAAGACGAACATAATATGGACCTTATATGACACAAAAAAACCCAAAAATTACATTTTTATGGCAGGTCCCCTTTAAGAGCATACATTAATAGTAGGAACATTTTAAAAATATATAGTTGGCTTGTAAAAATAGATTCTGGTAACAGAGAAATACCTTAAAAGACATTGAAAAAATTAGTGGTTAATCGGTAACCTTGTGTTGCTTCATGGAACTGCATCTTTTCAGTTTCACAATCTCAGGAAAAAGAGCTCCACACTCTGACATCAGCCCATATACAACTGAGGATTTTAACTATGAACACTTATTTTCTTCAAACCTGAGGAAAAGCTTACAAGAAGTGCTTGAAGTGTTTGAAAACTTGATATTTTCTGTCTTGTTTTGTCAGCCCTCTGACTCTGATACCTGTCTTTTGCTGTCTGCAGCTAAAAACCCTCTGAGGCCTCTCCATCTAAATTAGATTCTGGATCATACTAGAGGAGGACAATCATCTTCAACATTAAAACACAGCACTGAAACTTCACCAAGGAGCTCCTTCTGGTGAGGGGTGAGGTCAGACAGCTTAGTGTCTCTGATATTATCATCTGTTTATCTGAGCAGGGCTAAAAAAGAGGCCAACATGGGAGTGGAACTCCACAAACTTTTTGAGGACTTTACAGATGAATCAAAAGTTGTTAAAAAGGTGTGAGATAAGGGAACCAAAACTGTTTCTGTGGGAACTTTTTACCGTCTGGTGACCAAAATGAAGCTGACTGAGAGGTTTTTGGATGAAGTGCAAAAAATCTTTTTGCTGTTGGTGTTGTTTGTTCGTTTGATGACCTGCAGGGGATTGAACCCTGTTAGCCCTGTGGTGGTTTCCTGAGCTTTGTTTATGTGAGTCCATGTGTGAAAAAAAGTTAACATGAAGCCAGTAGCATACTTATCTTTTTACACACAAACTGTACAAATAGGTGTGAAATTGAAACCCACTTTAAAATCAACATAAAGGTTTGAGGACTAGCAGCTCTTGTTACAAAGAATCTCAGGGTGTGTGTTGGTAACAGGAAAAACTGAATGACTCTTCCTGAATATAATCAGTCTTTCATATAATTTTATGATGATCTTTTTGACCTGTTGCTGTACAGTGTTCCCAAAATGTTCCCGTTGTGATCTGCTGACTTTGACTGTCCTGAAAGCATCAAGTTCAGATATAAGAAGTCGTCACCTGTCTGTATAACCAGCTTTTAAAATATAGTACACCAGTACACCATACAGATTATTTTCAGACGAAGTACTTTATATCATGAACAAACTGAGAGAGAGACAGTCTTTGTAGAAAAAGACCTCTGTGTTCTTCTGTTACATTTTGAACATATGATTGTCTCTTAAATGTTTTCTCTGCCTTTAAACTTTGATGACATAGAATTGTTTCGTTAATATTAACAAAAGTAGCTCAATGGTCCAGACTGAGGTCCAGAGTTTGAGGCGATCAGGTGATTTCTCTGTATCTCTAAGGGGATAACATGCTCCATCTTACCCCATCTGGTGGTGACAGAAACACTGTTTTCCTACAGTTAAAGGATGTAGCTGAAGTCTGTTGAAGTATTGGTACTGTTTATATTTATTTAACAGTTTTTCATTATTCTTTATACATTTCAATGTTTTGTGGCTGATTTAAAATGATGGCAGATAAATCTGAGGTAGATATTGTAAAACTTAGGAGTTTACACAGACCAGAATGTAAAGAAAGGAAATCACGTTTTTTATTTCTCTGTGATGAAAGTTTAATGTTTTTCAAATCATGTAAATATTATATTTACATTACTATGTTACTTTATTTAGAGTTATGACAACATGTCAAATGAACTGTGTTTTTTCATTAAAAAAAAAATCTATGATCATGCTAAATCTGATACAGTAACATGTTTGAATGAGGTCAAGACGGGGACAACAAAACCCTGAAACCTTAACTCTAAGACTCTGAGAAGTCTTTTGTAACCTTGAGTGGAAATCACTGCATGGGCTCTAAATTATTTAGTCCAGCTCTCAGAAAGACTCAGGTGGAGCAGAATCGGCTTGAATCATTCTATCTATCTAACTATGGCAAGAAGTAGGTCTTAATTTTTTTAAAATCACTTCCAACCAATCCTTACGACATTTGGAAGATGTTTCCCGCACTCTTAACAGTGCTGCATGAGTTTCTTTACAGAGATGAACCAGAGATTCCTGCTTAATTTCTCCAGGAGCCTTGACCTGATGACCAGGGGCCTCATGTATCAACACTTGTGTGGGACTCATACCGGAAACGAGCGCACGCAAGGTCCGTCACGCAGAAAAAAATTCGTATGTATCAAGGTGTGCGGGCGCCGAAAGCCACATGTGTTTCCTTGGTAAATCCCAATCAGCTTGGAATTGAGCGCAGATGTCGGAGTGACCAGGCCCGTCCCCGTTACGCCCACCTATAAATATGCAGATTTATTTAAATAGGGTCTCCCTGTCCTCGCACGCAGACAAAATGACAAGAAAAACTAAATTTACGAGGTGGAGGTGCTGGTGGCGGAGGTGGAGGAGCGACAGCGTGTTTTGTTTGGCAGCCTGACCAGTGGCGTCAGTGCAAAACGAAAACGCTTGGAGTGGGAGAAAGTTTGCGAGAGGGTGAACGTGGTGGGTTCCGACACACGCAACCCCGCGGAGATTAAAAAAAAGTGGTCGGACCTCAAGGTGGAGGTCAAGCGGCGTACAGCTGCCCTCCGGAGGAGTACCGGCCAGACAGGTGGGGGTCCGCGGGAGGAGCCCTCACACCGTTTGAGCAGCGGGTAGTGGCGATTATGGGGGGCGCCTCTGTGGGGGGGATTGTCGCAGCTACCCGCGGCGACTCAGACAGCCTGCTGGAGGGTAAGTGGCGTGTCACACAAATGTCCACATGCTTTGCCATAGATGTAAACGCAACAGATACACAGAAGCAGGAATTGAAATGAACCAATATTTTTATTGTGTCACAGAAATCAATTTGTCGGCCGTGTCGCCGGCTTGCAGAATCCCGGCCCGCGGCAGCCCGTCCGCCGGCTCGGAGTCGTCGGCCAGGACCAGTGCCTTCGGGCCACCCCAGCCCCCGGCCCCAGCACCAGCACCAGCGCGCCGACAGGCGGTGGAGCATCCACCAGCCGCAGCGCTTCCGCTGGACCACCCGGACACAGTGGAAGGGTCCTCACAGAGGCGGTCCTGCAATCGCCGGAAGAAATCATCAGGAGGATTGCGGGGATCAACGAGCGACTGGACCGGCTCGTAAATGTCCTTGAGCGTCTGGTGGAGAAAATAAATTAATTTGGCTCATTGAACTGTGTATTCACTTCTTACCCATTCACATTGTGGCAATGAGATTCTCCAGCGCGAGGACGGCGGCCCGGCAGGGATCAGCTCGCATCCCTCCGTCTGCTGCTGGTTCGTCATGTGGGGAGACGTGCTGCTCGGCCACGGGGATGTGGTGCATGCTTGTCACATAGTGAGTCACCAAACACCGCCACACAGCGTCGGCTCAACGCCAACTTCTACACCACCTCCTCACTTTGCGTGGATTTGCGCTGGAGCCGACGCTCATGTTGCGATGATAAATCTGGACGTGTGCGCCGATCTTGGCGAACGCAAGGTTTTCTGGCGCCGCCAGCGTTGATAAATGAGGCCCCAGGGGCCTCATTTATAAAACCTGGCGTAGGATCCATACTAAAAGTGTACGTAAATCGAAAAGCTGAAAAGTGCGTAGGCCAAAAAGAAATCTGATTTATAAAACCCTGCCTACGCACACCTGCACGCACTTTCCCTTTATAAATCACAGACCAGCCGGAAAGTTGCGCAGCAGGGATTTGATTCATGCCCCGCCCTCTCCACACCCAAAATTCACCATGTATGGTCATGCAAATTACCTCATGAATGTGATTTGCATATAAATAAGCCAGATGGATCCACGGCATTTCACGCTTAATCATGGCATCAGCAAGTTGTAGAAAAAGAAACTATTCAGAGACCGAGGTGGAGGTTCTTGTAAATGAGGTGGCGGCGAGACAGGAGACCTTCTTTGGCGGCCATTCGAGTGGCATCACCAATAAAAGAAAAGCCACCGAATGGCACGCCGTTACCGTGGCGGTAAGTGCGGCTGGCACTGAGCGCAGCGTTGTCGAAATCAAGAAGAAGTGGTCTGATCTAAAGGTGGAGGCAAAGAAAAAATTGGCTTTGCACCGTCGGAGCGTGGCGGCGACAGGTGAGGATCAGAAAACACAAGCACATGTGACACTCATCCATGTGTTCCAAAAAAAA